GGAGCTTGCCGAACACCAAGCGTCGATCATCTCCGTTGGGACGTCCTTTTGTTCAGCCGTCTTTCTTTGCTTCTCTCTTTCGTATCTTCTGGTTTCTGACAACATTTTTTTCTCTTTTGTATACTTTTTATTTGCCTGTTCCCCTGTTTTTTCTCTGTTTTCTTCGGTTTCTTCCTTGTCAGTACCTTTTTTTCCATAATCTTCCTTTGTTAACCCTGTTCCTTTTATTTTTATTTCTCGGATGGTTATGAGTGATTGTTCTTCCTCTTCTGTATCTTTTGTTTCCTCCCTAATTGCACCCTGTTCGCTTGGCATTTTGGTTTGAGTTTCGCAGTGTTTTCTCTCTATAATGCTCTGCACTGCTGCTTCCTTCATTTTTTGTTTTGGAGCAAAAATCCTCGTCATTCGCCTGCTTCTTCTTATTGAACTTTCATCTTCCTCTTCCTTGACTTCGACTATTTTTCTTACGCGCGGCATTCTAATGGTCGTGTCAACCTGAACCATCTTGTCTTTTTGGTCAAGGATGCTGACTTCTGTTCCCTCCTTTCCTGAAGCCTGTTGTGGTGTTTTAGCAACCTCGATGTAAACAACGGAGTACTTGGAGTCCAGCTTAGATGTGTTGAGTAACCTAAGACTTCTGTACATTTTTTTCTCTCGCCTCGGACCTGATTCTCTTTGCGATGTGATTTCGACCGGAACGCTTTTATCACGAGAGTGTAGTATATACTGTTCCAAATCAACATCTTCACTTTCCGTCGAAGACGCTGAATGACTAGCCCTGTCTGGCGACTCGGTCCCGGAGTAAGGTCTCCAGCGATAAAGCAGTTTTGTACCATCTTCCCAATTAACTTCATAAATACTTGAGCTGTCGCTGGAGGCCTCCTCCGAACAACTTCCGTGGTTGTAGGTAAAAATTGCTGGTAGAGCGTATGTCATGCTGGGGTAATATTCTTTCGTTGAAACAGTTAGATGCTTTTTTTCTAACACAGTCTTCATCTCTGTTTTAGAAGTTCCACTGTCTACCAGAGAAATATCCGTGTCAGATATATCAGACTCGGATGTTGTCGCCCAATCGCTTAACGAGCTAGGTGGCGGTGAACCTCTTGAGACAAATTTCCATGCATGTCGCTGGTTCCACAATTGTAGTTCTTTCAGCAGCTCGTTGACCTTTTCACGGTCCTTTTTCACAACTTCACTAAAAACAAGTACAATTACTGACAAAAGTAAAGTGGCATATTACTTTAGTAATTCAATGGCTTCCGTTATTCGGTAGTGGTCCATTCTTATTTCATCCGCCTGTTGGTCAAATTTGCTTGTCGATAGCAGCCGTTGTTCATATTCCCGATTTGTTTGCATATGAGTCTGAAACAAGCATACTATTTTAATTATTAATAGTTTATATAAATGTGGCTTTTGGCGACATTAATCCGCTCTTCTTAAAACAACTAGTTATTTGGGAGGTATGACTTTGTATTCTGTTGTATGATGTGCAATGTCACTAATATGTGAAGGTTATTTTTCGTTTTAGTAAGCTGTACTCTGAGAACAGTAACTAGAAAGACCCGGTGGTTAAAGATTCTCACTCCTAAAGTGAGCAGAGACTGTAGCTCACTGTGCATAGAAAGCGATACTGATAAGTAGCACAGACAGCCTGTTACTGAAAAATTTACAAGCTAAAATGTTACTTGAAGAATCCCGGGTGCTAACCGCCCCTGAGCCCACCAGCTCTGGGAGGCCTGACATCATAAAGTATTGCGGTACAAGGATCTCTTTTCAAACGGCGGTCTTTATAACACTGGTTTCAGGAATGAAAATGTAGTGCTAGTGCTGGAAGAGTACTCACGGTTTGGCGTTTTTAAAATTGTGAAAATTATGCAGTCCAGCGTGGTTCTCCGTTTAAACCTCGACAGCGTACTTTTGTGTGATATAAGATGTCTAAATTTGATAAGTAACGGACTTTATTCTAAAATGGACTCAAAATGTAATGCGATTCCCTCAAATAGGCTACGAGATCTTTAAAGAAGGTCTACTGGTTTTCGGGATCTACTCAATGCTTTGCTGCGTACATGCTGATAGTGAATGGGAGGCCAAGAAATATGTATGCCGTCACACTGAGCGAGTCCCATAATTTTCGTATAAATCGGCTAGAGCGTTTGTTTTCTCTGTTTGCTGAGGATCTATTGTGATGAGTCACTGACAGAGGATGTGGGTTTGGCCACAGTGATAGAATTCCCTGACCTTAAAGGAGACATCTCTTATAAGGACCAGTAATCCAGAAACATCAAAATCGTCCCCGACTGCATGGTAATGGGACCTGTACTGACGTATCGCCAGTTGAATGCTTGAAAGCCAACAGTACAAATGAGCATTCAGCAGTTGTCTTTCAGAGTTGCAATGTGCGTACTACAAAAGCTGTAGACACAGTGACGGAGGCCCAGTCCCTCGTTTTCTGGCGCACTAATGACCCTCTGTATTGTACAAAATTGTAGTGGATAGTGGCACGCTCAGCACTTTTAAACGATGATTATCCTGTCCGTAAACATGCCAATCAGCTTTTCATACTGGTTCATATAACATAAAGTCGTAAGGTTACAGCAGTAAAGTTGCACTGGACACATAGAATGGCATTTTCGCTTACTACGAGAAACTGTTTGCAGTATGTCGTTTGAAACCGATGTTGAACTTATCAGGTGGCCCTGCAATATCCACTAGATTCAGCTACTGCACGCTGCTATAAATAAAATTTAGCCAGGGGGACATTCTATTGACCATTACATGGAGGTTATTTGCTCGGCAATCACTTAATATTTTATCCCTATTCTACAATCCAACAGGAAAGTCTGAATTCACGTTTACCTAACTACATTTCGTATTTGGACCATATATAGTGAGTTGAAAGAATAATATCACCGGATCCTGCTTATTTTCAGTATCAAAAGGAAAAGCAGTGGGTGGTTGTTCGTAGCTCTGACCTCTTTACGACACATTCAAACTCAAAAATGAATCCAGAATGACTAGCAGATTGGGCACAAAACCTTGACAAATCTAGTTACCAACTTCCGTAAAAGCGGAACTTCACTTTAGTGTTTTGCTACGTGACTCATAAATACCTTGACGAGTTCGTGGCCTAATTCGGATCTGATGTTACCATACAAGTTGAGTGCTTCGTACTGTGTAGTTCAATGGTATAAATTACTGGAAAAGGCTTCTGGTAGCATCCGAAGTATCCAAATATGAGCTCTTAGTACATTACCCTGTTGATAATGCTGTGATAATTGGGCCACAACTATAAAAAAATACTGTTGATAGTGCGTGGAATTGTGACAATACAACGCTGCAATTGCAACCGTCCAGTCGCCTCAAGTGTTGCTCGTTTACTATGCACAGACTATTTGTCCCCTTGCGTTACTATTTACAAAAGTATTTTTTGACCTGTATAATATAACTCCGTTTTTCTGACCCATGGAAACGCCCCATTCAGTTATGAGCTATATTTTCCTCATCTCCGATATTATGTGCGTGAATTTTTCCGAGTTTGAAGGTACCAGGTCTTGAGTCAACTTTACTGTCCACATTTTCCGGTGTCATCGTTCTCAGTCTCTCAGCAATTTCGAGAATTTTTATTTTTTCGAGCAATGACTATCGATTAACCAGCATCACATTGCGACCCGTCGTTTTGCATTAATACCCTTAGTTCAGCGTTAGAACGCTCAATGACCTTGATGTTGATGGAAAAACGACTTGATTTTCTCTTTCTCCTTCCTGTGGACTAGGATGACTGTCATCTTGTGACCGAATAATGGTAAGATGCGACTGAGGGCTACAAGCAAACTTCGTTGGTACTGATAGCTAGCTAACACTGTAGGGATCGAACGACTTCCCATATATGGAGTCAAGGCCCCTGATGAAATTGTTCGATATCCTAGAGGCCGGCTGTCAAGGCCAGTTGCAAATACACTACTTAATTTCGAAGTAGAGAAAATAGGCCCGTTTTGGCACAAAGTTAGTGAATCATTTCTTTCTGAAAGTGTTCTCTTCTCGGAGGCGTGTCCCTCGCGAAACACTTCATTCTTCTTATGGAAGCAATTTTTAAATAAAGCTATTCTCCCTAGTCTCGGAAGCTTTCTGCTTTGGGGTCCACCTCTTTATATTTATATAGCCCAACGGAAAACGGATTACAATGTTATTATCAGTTTTCTTCACAATGGGTAACCATTCGAGTTGCTAGCTATCCACCCAAGAAGTTGTTAACATTATTGAGACGAACCTTCCTGCAGAACACTGCGGGTGAACTGCTGTCAACTCAGTCATTTTGCGTACATAATTTAACAGAGGCACAGCGAATGGAACCAACTGCTGTGCGGGTTTTGTCGTCTTTGTCAAAGCCTTATATTTTGTTTGCAAACTACAATCATTTCACCTTTAATCAAAGAAAAATCTTTAGTGGGTTGTGGGTAAATTCTTCCTTATCTAAACGGTATCCCATAACTTAAACGTACCTGGCTCGGTGTGAGGTCGCATTCGCGTAATTTGACTTGATTTCACTCTACTCATTCCAAAAATTGATGTGCTGGGCGACCAGTTATTCCGCTTGACTTATTATAATGAATTAGGTATGAATAATTGTAATAAACTAATCCAAAACTAGCAGTTCTGGTTGATATGTTCCCTTTCGAAGGGAAACCAAAAACACTGGCTCATTTTTTATGGAGGCCTGTGTATTAGTTCAAATATCCACTGTTTTCGTCTGGTTATCATATGGTTCTTTCGGCTGAAGGACGTTTGCTCAGGCTGAATATTCTTGAGAAAAACTATTGCGCTTGTTTAAATAAGACCAACCATCTTTCTCTGCTCCCTCACTAGACAGACCACCAGAAAGGACAGATCAAACGCTGTCGCTCCAGAAACAAAAAATGAGTTTTTCTGCGTGGTGACCTAATTCGGCAGGCGTTGCTGCGTTAAAGAGAGTGGAAGCATTCAAGTCCGGTTAAACGCATATTTTAAGGCCCCTGATCTCAACGAGCCTAGTCGTTCTTGGAGGGACTAGCCAGATTTGTGCCTATGTCAAAGCGGCAGGAAACTACATGCATCCAGTCTTCTCAAGAGGCGGTTTTAGACCACAATAACCACTATGGTGTAATTTTGGGGCCTTTTCTGTCGTTAGGACGTTGAGGGTGCCAGGCCAAATCTTGCACAACCGGATTGATGTGGCTTAATTTGGAGGTGATATTTTTGATGAGGGATTCAATCGAGGGAAAGGCAAGAGACACAATCAGTATCATCTGATTGCGTTCATTTATTCTGTATTAATTTTTCAATTAGAATCCTTGTCTTCTTTCTGCTTCGGTGATTTCTGCGCGAGTTTCATTTATCAGCTGTTCAGAAAACTACTGCTGACCAGTTAGTAATTGCCTGAAGAGTCATAGGTTAACAAAATCGTCCACTGAAAACTTAAAGTATTTGGTTAGCAACCCAATGAAAACGACCCACCTTTATCCAGAAGAGTACGTTATTGAAAGTTGATATGTCGGTTCGCTTCAAATGAATTTCACTTCCTCCTGTACCTTCCTCACCTGTGGAGAGAACATAAATGCAATGATCACAAAATGGTAGAAGATATTGATTGTGTCGAGGTTCCGAAGAATCAACCCAAAAGAATAAGCATCCCACGCTGTTGATTTTATCTTGCTTTGTAGCAAATGGACTAGTAGATAGTGAAGATTTCACAGTTACTGAAAAAATTTGCACTGCATTTATTATTGTCCGAGCAAGGTGATGTAAAAGGAATGATGTTATCAGAAACTCTCCAACAATCTTCACTATGGCTGACTGAGCTACTACATTCGACGTTGTTGATTCCGTTGGCCACACACTTTCTCTCTTCCTATCTGCCTGGCAGTGCGAGGGTTGGCCTACCCCAGGGACCCGTTCAGTCGTACTGGAGGATGTCACTTTAACATCCATAGAGTCTATTTCACCAGGTTAATTAGTTTATAAACGTCTGACAAACAACATCCTGGTCCTACTGGTTTGGATCTAGAATAAACGTGTTCCCCAAACTTTAGGTTACTCATGCTAACCTCTCATGCCAACCAGTGCAGACTTGAGGTCAGGATTTTGCGCCAGAGGCTTTGACTGAGAACTCTAATCGCCCACTTGTTTGGGTTTGGGCACTATTGCAATATCTCACCTTACACACAGCCGTGAAGTGCATAGATAAAAGTGCCTTCACCCCACATTGGTCACCGCATTGTGACATCAGTCGGATCGCCTTGGTCGCTACCTAAAGCAGAGCGGGTAGGCAAAAGCAAGCGACTGCTGACGTCCGTTTCCAACCCGTTTTTCCATTGTTTTCTCTGAACTTCCATCCAGTTTCATTTGACAATCCCATGCATAGGTACGTCACTAAGGCACCTAGATTGTTGACATACTGCACACCACTGCTCACATCTCCTGCTCCGCTTCCTCTACTCAGGCTTCGTTCTCCTTTTTTCACTTGCGGCTTTAATGTGATAACTCTTGAACAGATGGGCCAAAATGCTTCCCTTGCGTGCACGCTGTTGTTTGACTTTGCTGTACCTCTGAAATTCCTATTGATGATCCAAGTACAGTTGTCGAGATGACGGTATCCGCTATAGACGCTATAGACTTTGAACTTCGGTTGATCCTGCTGCTGCTGCAGCTGGTTACCGTAGTTGGTCGTTTTTGTTGTGTGAATTCCCACTTCGATAAAATAAAACCGCAATGGTCAGATTCCAAATGAGTGCTTGTTTAGGAGAAACTAACATAGGCAGGGGTGACCAAGTCAAATAATCATAAGCAGAAGCATAGCTGTAGAATGTAATCAGGGTTGTTTGGTTTCATCAGGCAATGCTTTCACAGAATCTCTTTCTTACCACCTGCCCCCCAGATTTGATCAGCTGGCTTACCAGCTAAAAAGCTAAGCTAAGAAAAATGATACACTTAGATTTTAAGTGTTTCGACTAGCCAGTCTTGCTGGTACAACAAGATGGAAACAACTGACCTCTTGAAGGAGATCTACGTACCGTTACGTGTTTTCTCCCAATGTGTTTGGACTGCATTCACCAGTTCGATCAGCTCTTTGTTCTTAGTTTCTTCGTTGTCTGCAGTAGGAGGTGCCATTAATGAGTAACGCAACTCCTGCAGCAAACGCTTAAATGCTTCATCATCTGCCGCGTTAACGCGCTGTAAATGGAAGGGAAACGACTCATTTTGATGTGTTGCGCAAACACCAGGCAATGACCTGTTATATTAATTTCATTAGCACTTGAAGAAACTTACATACCTTCTTCAATGTGTCAACCTTTCGATCACCCAAGACGATTTTTCGTCAGGAGCAATATAATCCGGATAACGAAAGACAAAAGGGTTAAGTGGTTTCAGCCAGTCGATATTTGATTACCTGATGTAGATCTTGTGATTGAATTATTGGTGTTGCTACGATCAGCCGCTCCAGGCCGAAAAATTAAATGTTCACACTATTAGGCGGGAGGTCGCGGTCTTGAAACTCCTCGGAGTTTCGTGAGATGTGTATCAATAATGAATCCCAATAAGTATCGCCTCTTTACTATAGACTGGCTTCAGGAAGGAATCTGAACTTCCAACATGCGAGCAAAATTCAGAAGACTTTTTTCCCACTAGCAATCAGGCCAGATAGATGCCACACATAGCTCACAATCTATGCGGTCTCATTCGTGCAGAATAGGTGCAAGCATTTCCCAGTAGCTTGAGAAAACGTACGTCAAAACCACATTATGCTCTTGCAAAGGCTACCTCCTACCTGACGCACCAACTGAAGGAGGCATATAATTTAGGTTTAGTGAATGTTTGCCAAAATTCACACGCTAGTTGCAACCAGGACTAAAGGCTGGATCTCCTGATTCACAATGCATCCAAAAGTTGCGTATATGTATGTTGCCACTGAATGTCACACTACCATGCGATTCCCAGCCACCAAATCGGTCAGAGTTTGTCATCGCCAGCTTATTTAATTCGCCGAACGTTCCATTCTCATGATACCCGCTGAATGAAATCGTTGGTAAACCATCGAATTAATCAAGGAGATATTTCATTGGGCGGTTCAGAAGAGCAAGAATCACTTTCGTAAACCAGCACGCGGTGAGTACAATGGGGTTCCTGAGAAAAGACAAAGCTCGTACTGAATTAAACTTATGGTAGATGAGACTAAGCGCCACATATAACCCACAAAATTTATAACAAATTTCGATGAGATTTTGGGGAAGGGGTGGTCGTTGGAGAAATATTCGGCTACGTTTTTCTAGATGGCCATTTCGTGGACTGTCAAACACTACCCACATATTAGATCCGATAGGCCCTCAAATTTTGAGAGTTACCTGGTTATTGCTAGACCAAACACATTTTGTGAAGTTAACCCCACAAAATTTACTCAGTGGTGCTTAAACCCTTGAGGGTAGACTGCAATATTCAGGAGACGCCTCTCAGCCTCGACTACCCAATACTCAGACATGGCATGAAGACTAGTCAGGCTAATTTTTAAACACTAAATCGCAATCAAGTTGTCGGAAGGTGGTCAGCCATCGGGATGGCCGAGAGGTATGAAATCGCCAGGGAATGATCATTAGCAGGACCATGATTATCCTGACGAGTTCTCCTTAGAAGTAATTCGACAAACCCAGAGGTGAATCGAAAAATGCACCTTTTTGATTAAATGGCTTTGACTTCCAGACGAAAAGGCCGATCGTACATTTTCAAACTTCAACGTGAGCCCAAGTGATTTTCAGAAGCCCAGAATAATGTGAAGGTTTTGCCTAGTTGTCTGGTGATTACCACTAGATATGTTCGTTTGGTGAACTGTCTGAATCTACTTGTCGGAGCATATTAGTCATGAGATTGTTGAAAACTTTGCGACAGACAACGATCTGTCCCGCTGCTTCTGGGGCAGGGTCTCCGAATTACCGTCAACCTTATGTTCTACCTTAACACCAAGGTGTACGCAAGTAGCCAAGTAGAACAAGACAAACTCGTGTTATCGGAAGAAAATCAGAATCCCAACTAGATCTCTCAATTATGATTATCCTCAAACTTATGAGTACCATGATTTTGTCAAGAAAATATCCTGCAATATCTCGAATACCGTCCCAAATGGAACATTGAGTGATATTTGTTGTAGAACATCATTAACAAGAGATGTAGCTGGGTTGCGAATGTGCCTCCTGGTGGCGCCAAATTCGTTTGCGAATGAATGTATTTCGAATCCACAGTTTTATCTTAAACACTTTGGATTTCAATGTGGTGGTGTGGATAAACAGCTGAGACAGCCGCGAGCCTTGGGATAAAGAACACTGGAAAAATGTTTTTGTTATAGAGGATTATACGGAGTCCGGTGCTCGTTGTGTATTCAGAACAGGATTTTCGTCACAGATAAACGTAAGGCCGCCTGGCAGACGATCGCACCACACACTGTTCCCGTGACTGGATGGGATACGTTCGTTTGATCACTGAACATTGTCTCATCTGTTTTTACTCAACGCTCTAAACTTGACTTTCGCTTCATGCCATAAGCCGCTCAATATAGGTCCGGCGCACGTCGCTGTCTGCATCCTCTATGACCTACGTCTTGTCATCTATCCATCGGTCTGCTCGCTGTAGCGCCACAGTATCCTGAAAACCCGAGCATTTCGCACAGTTTCTCTGCAATCCAACCCGTAGGCAGAACTGCGCATAAACGTGCCCCCGCATGTACCTACATGCAAAAAGATAGACATCGCTCTCTTACGGGTCCCCCTGTTTCTTGTGCACGCGAGCACACGAGTGTAACCGACACAGTGGCAAAACCCAGCTGACCAAATGAAAGGTCGACAGGTTTCGGTGGCCCTCGTGTGTAGTCAGAGCACGACAGCAAACAATTGGTTTTCGTCAGGCAGAAACGTAAGTCACCCTTTAGGCACTTGCATACAGCCTTACCGACTAATCCCAGAGGGGAATATTAGTCGGAATGCAGTCAACAATAATACTGCACGTACCATTTTATTCATTTCTCATTCAACTAAGTATGCCGCACAAAGTCCACGCGATGTTTCAGTAGCCAAAATATTCTTCATGTCTTCACAAGACACACTAATCATTGAAACTTGTCGACTACATTTCCTGATAAGCCCACAAAGGGAGGAACCAGTATGGGTCTCTTGAGGAGATTTCAGACACCTTATGAGCAGTGAATCGTGTACAGAAAACGTACTTCTATATATCTCAAATGTCATGCTAACTGAGGCACGAGGCAGCTTTTGCAATTCTCTTCTGTGAACCAAAGTTGAATGAGGAAAGCTGCCTTCAGTCTGTTCAACGCCAGTGACGATATCTTCCAAAGGGACATACTGAATCTCTCTTTCTTCCTGACACCACAATCTGCCAACTGTTTCTGATCCACCACCTTTGAGCAACTATCCATTTTTTCAGGTGTCCGGGGTTGTGGGTTTTGCAAAATGCATACTCCCATGATTTCTGCTTGAAAAATCGTCTTCCGATCCTGGTGTGATCATTCTGGTGAATCCACGTCAAAGGAGTTGGAAGCACGGGAATCGAGTTTTGCCCTTATTAGAGCTCATCAGCAATGCATATCCAATAAGTAGGCCGGGATTTGAACTCCATACATCTGACACGCGGGGCAAGAGTGTTACCACTACTCCACCAGCGCTCGTCGGACCCATCTGAATTTTTGTTTGATCAAGTGAACATGTTCGCACTTGAGTAGTGTGAGCCGGACATTCCGTCCTAGGTGGTAGGTAGATAGTCTACCGTCTTCGAAACGACTGGGTTGTGCATGTTTGTAGTTTTATTCATCACTGGCAACGTCCCTCAAATCCCCTTGCTAGTGCTCAGATAGTTTTGCCCGCCATGCTCTACTGGCTGTTTTTGCTTGCAAAATGTGGGGTGCGCCAAGTGCAGTAACTTGCCCACACACCCAAATCCCATCCGGAACGCTCTTGGTTCTCTCTATCGAACGGTTAAGGACTCAGAAACAGCAACATTTACTACACCCACCCCCTATTAGGGTGTGCCTGCATTCTCTGTTACGGAACCCATGCCTGGACTAAATCAGGTGTAAATATTTCCGTGTGGTTGACGTAGATACTAAACACCATGCATTATAAGTAAGTTCTTCCATTAATTCTCCGGGAATGAAACTTCATGTCTTCGTACTTAGGACGTGTGGAGTAAAAGCGTCCCAAGAAAGTTTTATCTGACTACGTCTAAATGTGACAAAGTATGAAGCGAGAACGAAAAATGGAGACAAAATATTTAAATGAAAACATCTGTCGGGCTGCGCTATTACTTGGTTGGTTATGGTTTCCATGACAGGTTGCTCGCCACTTTCCACTTCCACACAGCAGTTCCATTCTTCCTTTTTCTATGCACTTTGTTGTCCTCTTGATTGCTATGATTGCCTAAGCTTCACAGGCTATCTCTCTTGTAACTATACCATTGAGCTTACAATAAATATTTCCTGGTAGGGTTACACGTATTTTCGCATTGTTTTCCCAACGAAAGCCGCATTTTTCGAAGTCATCGAATGCATTACCAAACGGGGTGGCATCTTAAGACCAATTCTGAGTCCTTTCTGTTCTGTTCTCCGGGTACGAAGGAAGTATGCCAGCGATTTTGGTAGGCTTAATATCATAGTGATAATAATAGTTCACTTTATTTTGTAAACCTAGATGTATTGTTTGTTGTGGCTACCAGGGGTGACTTTTTCGTGACATGTGAAATCTATTTTCAAAAACCGCACCATAAATGTCACCCGGTAGGGTGCGCCTCCAGGCTGATGGAAAACATTAAGCGCCGTAAGAAGCGCCGATAGACAAATTTTAGTCTCCTGGATTCGCCCTCCACCACTCACCGGAAACACCCCTCAACTGGGATAACTAAAGTTACTTTTCGGGGGCCTATTCAGAAATGTACAAATATACCCAGAAAGACCTTAACAGACGAATGGGACCCCTGCTGCCTGGGAGGGGACGTACCTGAGAAAACAAGCTTTAGGAAAACATTCACTTGGATTAGCGAAATACACTCATTTGTAGACAAATTTTTTTGTCCGAGTGACTCACCTGGAAACCAGCTGAATCTCTCGTTTGTGATGTCTCCAAGCAACTGAATGTGCTGCACCAGGCCACCTCATGTTTCAGTTGCTACGATACCGAATTTGTTTGCAAATGATTGTATTTCGCTAATTGCGTGCAATTTTGTTTCAAGTAGAACATAAGGTTGACGGGAAATCGGGGACTGCGCATATCTGATGAGCCCCAAGAAGGGCGAAATCGACCGCGGGCTGTCGAAGAAATTCATTAGTAGTGCATGACAAATATTCACTTGAATGTTTATCACCCTATACGTCCTTTCAGAAGGCTACATACTTTCGGTCAAATAACGCATGTGAATAATGTTTGTGTGGGACTTACATCAGTTTCGCAAAGACGTCGTAGGAAGCATTTGAAGAATTCGAGGGAGATGGCGAGTCTCTCGTCAATGATCTCCTTCCAGGCGGTGAGAAGGACATGATTCAGACTGTTAAATGTGAGAGAGAATCAATAATGCAATCAGGTGATTACTCCTTCACGAGACTAGAAATACTAAAGGTCTAGATCAGTTGTTAAATTTGGGCATTTCGGGATTCGCTTCACCCTAGCCAGTTCAATAAAAATAACGTTATCGCCTTTTTGCCGTAATAAAATTTGTGGGGCTAATATCTTTTGTTCATTTATATCAACTGCAGAAGGAATCGAGCAGGCTGTAGCAGCACCAATACAACAACATTTTGCTAGATTTGTTCCACGCGACGGGCTCGGCGGTCGAAGACGCATGTGGACTCATAAAATCATGACCCACCCACACACCTATAGTGGTGGTGAACACAAAACACACGATCCCACCCGTATGATCATCACCGCGAAAACACTTCCCAAAAAACCACATGTTGCACTCATTAGAAATGGTCTGGTTAGGGCAGATGGTGACCATCGTTGAAGACCGAAGACGGAGACCTTTGTGTGAATAAAATAAGTGACGCTTTTGACTTGAACCACAATCCGGAAGCATGGAATGGAATTGTCTCAAAGTCCTTTTTAGAACTGTATGCACAGCTTCAGGGGCGCCGCCAAAAGATTTGTTGCAACGGTCGCAGATGGTCAAATTAGTCGTGTAATTTTTTACACTAGACTAGTGACTGTGTGGTCCAAACAGAACAAGTAGTCTGGTGTTTTTGACCTTTTATGATAGACTTTCCCTTGAAAATTATTTCAGTGGTAAACTCCCTGCCAATTTTACTTGGATTTCAGCCTGACCTTTTTTTGGACAGAATTTTGCGTCAAAGAGGCAAGTGAGGTGCCCCAAATATCCCTATTCCAAACTAAATTTCACTCAGGTGAAGAATGCTGGGTGGGGATACACAATTTGCTCAGACAATAAGGATGGGGGCGTCGCCATGACAAAATACCATTCCTCCAACCTGGCCTTTACAAAAAAACTGGAACAGGTGCCCTTAGTTAGAAATCGACCGCAATTTTCCCACGTTTTAACCACTCCAGCTCAGTTCAGACGTCAAATGAAACACGCAAGCCGCCTTATAGAGTTTATCACCTCAGCAATAAACACAGTCTCTTGCGGGATTTTGTGCATACCAACCTAAACGACGTGTCAAAAATAAGAATTTATGAGTTAGAAACTAAGAAAACCGGGTGTTTAGTTCCGTAGATTACATATCAAAAACGGTACATTGCTGAGCGATACTCGTATAGCTCTCATTTCTGATGTAGTTGTAGTTGAATGTGAAGTAACACTAATCATTCGTTGTCCGCATTTATCCGAAAGAGTTGCATTGCGTCTCTTTTGTTTCCCATGACTGCATTGAAGGTCCCCGTGAATAAATGCTGTTACATTTTATTTCGGGGCCACTTGAGTCATGGTCCAGTACTACCGATATGCTTACTTCTTTGTATCAAACGGCTACTCCTGAGTGGAACTGCGCTAGTGTAAACGACCCCTCGAAATTACCGACCGGATTGAACTTGAGAACAGCCAACCTAGGAATGTAGTAATTCAAAAACCCCATCCTTATGCCTCTTTTCTCGAGAAATTTTATCGGTGCTTTTTATTAAGAACGGGCGAATGAACATCACGTCGGTGTCTGTAAATAGCCTGGAGGACTGAAGTGGTTCCATAATTTTTCTGCGATAGTTCTCGGATTTCAAACACTTTTTTGTCGTCTTTCAAGCCCAGTAATCTGGAATTCCTTTTCCTAGTACAATTCATATTGTGCTACTTTTATTTTTCTCATTATCCCGAAGATATCGTGCATAATCGGAGTGTTCATACAATTTGTCGTCGGGTATGGGTCTGCGAAGACCAGGCGAAATTCAGATTGCTGCTACACTAGTTACATATCAGTAGTTTTTTGTGTTATGACGTGCCTTGACAGGACCTCTAGTAAGCATCGACTTACAGCGTGCAGTTTACAAATCATTACAAAGACAGCCGTGCTAATCACAGTGAGCGAAAACATCTTTCAGCCATAGAATCTAATTCTACGACCGATGCAGTGTAGCCTGGCGACCAAATTAGTCAATACGGATCTGTCTCTCTGGGGATAAATGATGCTTGAAGCGTTACCAACTGTAAACCACCCAGAAATTATTGTTCTCGTCTTGATTGACTGTGACCGATCGATCCAATCGGTTGTCAACTGTGAGCTGCACTGAACAGAGTCAGTGGTCACGGTTCTAATGTTCCGATCGCAACACACATTCAACTGAAGCCATGTTATCATCATATGAATGAAACGGCAGTTCATCCAAATTGTCTGAAATATCGCAGGTCCGATGGTCCCCAACCGTTTGGCTGAAGATTTTGCGAGTGAGAGTTAAGGAAGGGAAGTTGTCCGTCCTGGTTCAGAAATCTCATTGAGGCCCATCTGAGTGCTTTATGGTTCGATAGTCTGCCAGCTGGTATCACATCACACATTCATAACTTCATAAGGACAAGAAGGTAAAGTTCGCCAAAGTAATAGTAAGTAACCACCGACACAGAAATGGTCCGGGCTTGCTAGTCTGGCTGACGGTCTAAACGTGAGGTAGATTAGATGGGCTCATTTCTGCAAGGAATCTAGTCCACGTCACCTACAATGCAACACCGCGCTGAATCGAACGGGTATAAAAAATTTCCGCTTACAGAGTAGCATACACCGATATCCACATGTTCTACAACGACTATCCAGCGGCACTCGCTCAATTTTAACGAATGGCCTAATCACTCGATTTTGAACAAAATAAACCAGACATTTTGAAGATGTGAATAAATGCTTTAGTGATGAGGTGATGTGCAAACATTTGGAATTTATGTGCCCAAAAGATGTAGCTTATGTTGTGGGCTTGCGTCGTCATGCATCAAGCTATACAACTGACTCTATTGCTTGGACAATCAATAAGCATCAAACTGATTATCCCGCAGAATTGGATTTTAAACTCCGCATTTGAAATCATTTAACTAGCTTTGGATAATTCACGTCAATGAATGCCGAAAAACTTGGCTCCTGAAAGTTTGACTTACAGATAACCTTTCATTGTTTAAAGATCCTGTTGGACACTGCTCTGATGCACATGTGCAAACAGCAGGTCGAGACAAAGTAACCTTACCTTCACGATGCAACCCAGACAAAATGCAGAGAACGCCACACCTTATCCGCTACAAAAATATAGACTGTAAATTTGGTTGAAATGTCATTTAAAGATACAATAAAAAGTGTAACACTGAATTGATAAAGCTTTGTGCACTTACGCAACTGCCCGCTGATGGGCATCAATGTCAGGTGCCGGAAGTAGCACACATACCGACGGAACACGGCAATCGACTCTACCGTCAGGTGTACGTACATGCCAGTGTAACTTTGCAGCTGATATTCCTTGATAAGAACCATTTGTCAGGTATGATGTGGAGGCCGATGAAGCAGTGTCCGAAGCTGCGCTAGAGTCCATTGTTTCCGAAGGAAAGTGCGCGTGCACCGTTCGCCCAGTGGGCTGGACATCTGTTGGTCTTCTTGATGTTTTTGCCAAACTGTTGTCGTCAATCTCTTCGCTGGTAGTCGATTCTACGTGTGAAGAAGCACTGTATTCAGTTGTACTTGTTCCAGTTGTTGAACTATTTTCTGTGCTACCCTCTTCATCCAGGCCTGAGTTTGTCAGTACAAAAACGGTATCACCGGCAGACAGCTTGGCAAACGTTGTCTCATAGTCGCACAGCATGATGCCTTTCACTGGGCGCTTTAGGCGTGCCTGACGCAAGTGGATTGGGACAATCGAACCTGCACGTCCGAGGATTTCATATGCACGAGAAGACAGATGGTCCATATGTTGAAAGTCATTCTGCAGGTCAGTATCAAAGAAAGAAAACGTTTAGGTTGGTTCCTCAACCAATCTAATGCATGCATAGTAACCTAACAGGGAAAATGATTCTGTAATTGTTGCTGATATTCGCAGCAAGAGTAAACCGGATTAGTATGTAGGTGTTCCTCATATTTGTTAACTGTGGCATCAGGACAGGCGATACAGTTACTTTACTCTACAAAGAACTAAACGATCTTTGACGATTGTCTCATTATATATGTCTTGTTGAACCCTAAAAGTTGAGCGGTATCCGTATTCAAGGTTATCTGTTTTTAGTTCACTTTAGTTCGATAATTACTGCCCAAAGAAAGGGGAAAACATTATCACGCTTTCGAACGCATCACGTTATGATGGAGTCGCCGATAAACAGAGATTCCGGATGATCGCACTCACTCTGAGGGAGCACTAGATTCCAAATGCGTAAAGCTCATTTGTGAAGTACTGGACGAATCGGCTTCGTGACTAACGCTACACGGGAATCACACGAACGGCAGTGATACAGTGTGTTCAGATAAACCGCTGCATGAGATGAATAAGAAGGCCGGTGAGCTGAGTGTCATCGAATGACTTGCTACTTATCTATTTAGAGAATACCTGCCGTAATGGCCTAAACAGTTGTATCCAACTCAGCTGAGATGCAAAATTTGGATGGTAATTATTGTGATCAGGTGCTGTTACTTCGCTCTTCTGAAGTGGCGAATCGTCTTTCTTTCAGTCAGCGTTATTTCGAGGCGTGGCATCTTCTGCTACGCACACCCAAGAGGAAATGCATGCCAATTGTCCTGCATGCAGACGAATAAAAGTTCACCCCACTTTTGATAGCAGTATTCAATGGGTCGTGGAGGATGGAAATGCCCGAAAAAGTGTGGGCACAAAAATTCGCGGAGTTGAGTAGTTCATGACTCCCTGGCTTTAGATAACGCGTACACCACACAGTAAGCCTGGAACAAAGCAGTACCTATTGAATGGAGACAGTCGCCAAATGATTAATTACGTTTTCGCGAAAAATTATCCAGTTACAGGCAACATATAAGACCGTATACGACAATTGGGACAGCGCTTTCGCACTTCTTAAAGATCACCAGGTAGGGGTAGTCCCCAAGCTCTACTTAAACCAAAATCACGTGCAAAATCGCCCACAAAACACCCTACGTTACACTAAATCGGTTCTAACGAAACCGGTTGTGGAATATTGAAGGATATCTAGCAACCCCATGAGTAGTGCACCCCATCTTGTCAACGTACTGCGGTGTCCAGAAACATGTCCGAAACATTCAGCTGAAGAATATTATGAACTGGAGATTTAGTCGGGATTCATTTGAACCCCCTGTTCGTTAAAACCAAATTTGTTGGCGAATGAGTGTATTTCGAATCTACCGTCTTGTCCAGATATTTTAGCCTTGAGTGTGGTGGTGCTGAAAAACCACTGCCGACAAAAATGTATGGTCAAAAGTTGACATGAAACTTAGAATAAAGTAATACATAAAATAAGCGTCAGAACTGAATGTTTGTGAGCATGCATACCGGTCGATCACGCCGCTTAATATTAGATGAGTCTCACCTGTACAGACATCACAGTTAATGTCTGACCAGCATGCACTGTTGAGGCTGGCGTAACAGGCTCATCTAGAGCGTTGGGAATCTGAAGTTTAGGTCAAAAGGTTACCAAGGATGTGTCTTGCTGATGCACGTTTTCATGACAACTGCAATCGCGCCCCAGGCACTAAGAAAGGTTCTTCATACGAAAATGATTTGGACAGAAATCCTACAACTTGCCACTGGCTGATCACCATCTACTGTAAAATGTAATCATTTAGTGGTAATGTATCTAATGAGATGGAATGTAGTGACAACAGTCTAAAAGTGTCTGTCGCTATGGGTGAATAAGCCGAGAAATGTTGTGCCTTTAATAGTTACCCACCTACTTACTCCAATACATTAAGGTTCGTTTATTGGTAGATATGTTTAAGGTGGATATCAAGCACTAAGTCCAGGTTGTAAGCGCACACATGCATCATATTATTTGGACAACCACAGCATAACCACGGGTTTTCTGTAGCTGACGATGCGTTCTGCGACAGGCTCAATAAGAAAACAAACTTGGCGCCAACGTGCGGTAGGCACAGAGCTACGAACCTACGAAACAAAAATCTCTCTCGAGATTGATCCAGTCGATTCACATACACACCAGCTTAAGTTACTCTTTATCACAGGCACCATCTACACCGAGCGACAGGACCTGGTGACCGATTTATGTGCCAAATTTCTCCAGGAAACGTTGTAACAGAATAAAAGCGGGAAGTTCGCGACAAATTGATCAATACTTCATAGTGATACTGGTGCTTAAATTAGGATATACACTGAGTACACTCGTTTCTATCCGTCATTTCATTAAAAGCGCCTCTCAAATCCTAATGAGTGCAACTATGAATGAAAAATGCTTGTTTGCTTGTTTGGTAGTCAAAGTGAGGATGGTATCACTGGCATTCGACGGAAACCCCGGATTTCCATAACCATCACCAAAATCCACCTCATTGGAGAAGAAAACGGGATATTCTACATCATCAAATTTATACTACTCATGAACAGTTTGAAAGTGCTGCGCAAGCATCTCTACTGAAATTATCACGCAGCATGTAACAAGTTGCGTAAGCTAATGCTGTCTGTGCGAAAAGCTGCGTGTTGCACAACATGAATATGAAACACTTTTTCGATTCCAAGTAACCTTGCATTCTAGTGGGCAATTTCGTCAGCCGAAGCCCGTTTCCAATATGCACATCCAACTGCAAATGGAAACCGGGTGTAGAAAATCGTCGTAAGGGGAACGACACACTTTTCCACCGTTGATTTCAGTGGAAACGGAAATTATTATGAATCAGGGGTCGCAAAGTCTGCAAGCGTTTAAGATTTGCCTGCATCGAACGTTGCATCCTTTCAACCCTGTGATTGTCCATCCCAATTAGTTGTAATCCTTTTGACGCACTACCATGGGGTGGAGCGTAGAACCATCTAATTATTTAGGCCTCAGTGGAGAAATAGACCGGTCAGGAGTGCGCGGGAAAACACGTACGCAATTAGCGGGCTCATCTAAAGGCTGTTAGTCTATGTATTTTCTGTAAAGTTAGGTCAGGAACAAATATATTATTCATGCCAAGTATCGAGTAATCCTACACTGGATTAAGTAATGACAATGAATACAGTAGTCCAAATTCTCACAGGCGGTTTCCAAATGCAAACACATAGTTACTGCAATCTTTCCGCGATCACAGACGTTGAAATTCTATCCGTCCTACTGTGTCAATTTTCGCGGCATTTACTTATGAGTGTGAAGATAGTCGGAATGCCACAAATCACCCAGCCGGCTATGACCTTCTTTCTGCTTATTCAGTAGGACCTGACAAAATCCTATAAACCTAGTCTACTGTGTAATATACTTAAGATGCGCACAATTGGCCTTAAGAGTGTGTTTTTTATAGTTGGGATACATCACGCAATACGCGCAGAACTTTTGGTCAAACTTTATATTTACCCCAGCCGAAACCTACGCGTATCCCACACCATAGCGCAGACTGGTTTTACGCTAAACGGATGGTCGCAGGCCCAATACCTTTTGTCTAAATATGGGTTAGGTTGGCTTTCGATTGAACAGAGCTTGTTGTTTCAATACGATTTGACAAAACTCGATACGACAGGCTGATTTGAATGAGTCTTGTAAAACCAGTATATATGGGTTTGGTGGTTGGCCCATTACTATGGTCTCAGATAGTTCTAGTGGTCCACTGGTTTGCTCCCTCTTTTACATATTCCCTACTAAAAACACCTCACTTAAATTTAAAAATACGGTTTGTTAATTATTGATTCCCAATCTATTCAGAATTTGACAGGGGTGTGTCTGCAAGAGTCAAAAACAATTTATGGTTCTTCCAGTGAAGCAAATCACCCATAGAAGGAACCCTGCCAAAAAGCCACGACTCTGGCCCCACCAATTATCCGGTTTATAAGTTTTGCCTGAGTGGCCAGGGAGTGACGGTCACTGTGGCCAGGCTGGACTTTTGTGCAATGAAACACCACTAGCCCCAACCAGCCCCGGATTTTATCGCGTGATCTGGTATTGGCTGGCTGCACGACTGTCGATGTCTTAGAGGAACACTCGTGTGGTTTTTATAGTATAAAACAATTCCATTCACAAGCAAATCTGTTATATCTGCTGATTCGTCAATCTGTGGTATCTGCTGCTGGCCCGCTCCAGTGTCGGGTCCTAGTGTCGGAGAGAAAAGACTCACAGGAGGGAACACAACACCCATATTCCGAACAAGCGAGTGAGTGAGAGAGCGTGAGAGTGGCTCTGTGAAAAGCCTGAACGCTGATCACATTCGGTCGTGCTTCTGTGGCCGCAAGAACACTCATCAGGTCTTGCTGAATTGATTGAATGATTGATTGTCCTGGATGCTTGCCGGCTTTCCAGTTGACTTTTTAGTGGAGCAGTAGGTTCCGGGCGTTATAAATTTGCTTTCAGGAATCTGACCTTCCTGATAGCTCCCCCTTTTGACTGTTTAACCTAAGATTTTCGACGCGGATCAATTTGTAGGGGTTCCACCCCTTTTCTGATGCGATCAGTACGGCGTCTTGGTTGCAACAATGGATCTGTATTGAGCGGTACATGCGAGGCAGTGGCTATAGGTGCTGGTCTTGGGAGATCAATGGATTCAAGCAGTAAGTTGAGGTCTGGTAACTGTTATTCCGCCCTTGGGCTCTGGCACTCAGTCGGTCGTAATTGACGATGCGTTGTTTCCATATCAATGATTCCACCTGGACGCTGTAAATCACCTGGCCGTTTCTTTTGAGGACGACTCCAACAGTCCATCTTCGGTGCCCGGGGCGATAGTCCCTCACAAGCACACGGTTGCCAGGCCGGAATTTTGGCTTCCCTCCTGTCGGTGTTGACGAACATAAGTTTTTGATCGGCAGTGTTGAAAGGTGCAAGCGATCGATCCAGTCTATGCCCAGGAGATTAAGCTCACAATCAGCAAGATAGACAATACCACAATCACGGTGGCCTGCTATCTCCATCTCACAATTAAACTCACCAAGTAGTTGAAGCTTACCACCTGAAGCATTTCTGGCAGCGTTCATTATCGGTCTGAGTTTTGGTGATCCGATCTTTCTCCAGTTGCGCCGGGAAACAATCGTAATATCAGAAATCGTGTCGAGCTGTAATCGAATTGTGCTTCTGTTTGCTCTGACTGTGACATACTTGCAACGAGCATCGATCTGGTTATCGAATGTTGTGAGTATTGTGTTAAAACGTGGTTCTGATTGGCTTCGTTTACTTCGTGACCTCCGGGGTTGACTGCGCATTTGGCTAGCTTTCCGCGTCCTGCACTGGCTTTCCTTGTGCCCACGTCGATTGCATACTGAACATTTGTGCTTTTTGTATGGACACAATCGCACAAAATGCCATTCGCCGCATTGCCAGCATGCTGACGGAGGCTTTGCTCCATTCGACTTTGTCACCACAGGAGGTTGCTTCGATGTCGTCTTGGCGATGTTGAAAGCAGGGTTGGATAAGGGCTTCTCCAGCATGGCCGTGTCGCGCTTAAGATTTAAAAGGCGCTGGCACTCATGGGTAATAGACTGCAGCGTTATCTCGGGAGTTTGTTCAATCTTGCTCAATAGTCTTGCCTTGATATCACTGTCTGAATGTGACTTCATCACAGTTCTTCTTCTTGTAGGGAGATTTATCGTATCCAGATGGTCACTGTTATTATTATTATTATTTATCTAACTTCCGAATTTTTTATACCAGGCATAGTGGCATTTCAGAAAGTATTCAATTATTGTTGCCATGGCGCACATGAGATAAAGTACTTCATTCAAATGTTCTTGCAATACCTCGCACCCACTTGCTATACTGAAGTGACTAATTGGAGAAAAGTCATTTGAAGGTATTTTGCTAGTCAATATCCTCCCTTTCCTCCCTAATTTCCCTAAGTTCTACTGTCATCAGTTCACTGCCCTTACGGTAAACTATGATGGTTAGACGCCTGGACAGACTGCACGAACTGGCTGGCCCGTTATTCGTCTACCACCGGGTAAACAGTACTTGAAGCAAACCACTCTATAGTGGGTAAAGGTGACTTGTCGTTTTCCTAAAATCTTCACCCACTCACATGCGCCTTTAGCCATATTGGTGGAAAATAGTTGTGATTTCATTCTTGTCCGTTGTGTACGAGGTCAGTAGGGCCACACGATGTCGGCCACGAAAGTGACAATTTGAGGAGCTCTGGTGTGATTGGTAGAATGTTGCCGGGTAAGCTGATCCCAACTTGTTATATTTGCTGATTGGCCAGTCTGCTGTATCTGACTGCTGACACGTTCCAGTGCCTTGTGCCGGAGAAAGCCTCACATAAGTGAACACAACAGTTATATTCCGAACAAGCTATTAAATGATCTAATGCTGACGCACGCGGTCTGGTTTTGTTACAAGGCTGCGACGTACCGCATATTGCTGGGGCGTTGTCTAACCTTGATCAACGCTGCTTCTCGTTGCTTGGGTTCAATATAAGGCTGTGAAGCGCTGCATAGTAAGGGGGAGTTGTTTGTCTGATCAACATGTAGCGGAGTTGAGAGTCTCAGTAGATTTCCGGCATTCAGTGGTTGCTTTCAGGAATCTGGCCTTCCTGATACAACCAGATATAATTTTCACAGATAATATAAAGCATTTTTTGGGATTTTTTTGTCAGGGGAGGTGAGGTTGTTTATAGCTTTACCCATTATGCATAGGGTTTATCTTGTCAAAGAATTTCGCTACAGTGAGTCATTTCTACAGGCCAACTTCCCTATTCTTTGGGTTTAATTACAGGAAACCACCGCAGTAAACATGTGAAGTAAATGAGTAAATGAACCACTCAAAAGTATTGTAGCATTTTTCTGAATCTTTGGATGATTCTTAAGCTGTTTACCATAAATGAAACTGTGAGTAGGTCTCAGTCTCACTCACGTGATAGAACTGCGTAAAGGACCCCTTTTCACGAACTGTGCACTAGCAGATTAAAAAATGACACCTGTTACAGAAAACGAGCCAGCACGAAGTCTTACCTTTATCTGATTCGCCAGATTTCTCGCTTCAATGACAGAACCTTCACAATTCTCCCAGTGTCCGCGTTCCTTCTCGCAAGCAAACTTCGCACATCTTTCATTTAGCTTGACTTCTATTTGCCGGGCGTCATAGTAAAACTGTAATCAACAAAATTGGTCCACAGTTTTAACGTTTAAACGAAAATGGTCGCAAATATCCTCGCTCATTCGGTGTATTATCTTCTTAGTCCAACACAAATCAACACACCTAGCTGAACTTTAAATTGCACTTTACCGAACATCCCCCAGTATCGATCGATTCACCATGCATCCGGCTTGTTAGCTGTTAATTGCGATTACTCATCAATACAGTGTGCTCATTTGAAATACATTCATCCGAAGATCGAATTAACCGAACGCAGTTTCGATTGATTGATGCTATGCCTAACTCTGAATGAGACAGTCAAACTTGAGTCGGGGCATCATATCTCTGTGATCAAAGTGATCAGATGATTAGTAAGCACAGATCTCAAATATTCTGTCAGTCTTTGATCATATATCGAGTGCTATCTGTTAAGAGACCTGCGGATTTTACCTACACAACCAAGGGCTTGAATAACCTTGAACACCACCATTTTGCTCCGCTGTGTCCTCAGGAAAATGCCTAATCACTGATTATCCGTTAAACATGCACGCCCTAGGAGAAGCTAAAAGTGTTAAGTTTTGTTGCCAATATTTCAGTGATGAGAAAAAGTTTTCTGGGACAAACTCACACCACTTCCCTCATTTTCAGTCCTGCTCAGCACTTGAGGGTCTGGATTGCGTCACATTTTTCTCTGTTAGTTCAGTTCATTCTAAATGCACTAAAATGTCAGCACGCTTCAACTGGCCTATTATCAGGCAACTGATATAAAGGTGCCATGGCTGGTGACCAAAGTATTCACAAGTGCTCCTCCGTGAAGCATTTATACCCTATATCTTCTAACATACAACTCCAGTGTAAGCATCATGGATTGGTTTATGTTGAGGTAAGATATCTTTCTTATTTCAATCTTTGAATCTAAAGCTTCTATGTTTCCCGTGAACTCAATAAAATTTCAGGATTGAACGCATCCCCACATGGATTACTCCTTCTCTGTTTGACTCACTACACCTAGTACACCTCAAGTGCACTTTGCCTGATGTGTCTTCCTGACCTTTCTTTAAGCAATCTTGTCTAAAGGTCACTCCCCCGCTTCTTCCTCTATTATAAATTGTTTCATCTTGCTTTTTTCGACAGACTGGATGTCCTGAAATGATTACCTACTAAAAATCACTCAAATGGCTACATAAAACCGTGTTTGTCTTGACTTGACACTCTACTAAATTACTTTGAAATTTCGCAATTTTTCACTTCTTGTCTTCGTCTCTGAAGAAGGTCAATTAATAGGCACTTGGGATCACTTCGGTACAATCACTTTTAAACTGGACACTGAATAATAAATGGTTTCTGTGCGTGTTACTACTATAGCTTTAAATTCTCAGAATGGTTCATTGAGTTCACAACTCCATCTCTGTGCATTAAAATATCGAATTTGGTTTTCCTGTATCTCCCATTTGGTATACCATAGCCAATAACTGCTATGTGAGCACTCTGATGATTTACAGATGACCATAAATGACCTCAGATGACCTCACTATCTCAAATCAAATGGGAACAAAAATGCGTAAAAATGCTCTTATATGATTTCACTTATTTTTGGCAGGAGCGACAATAAAACAAGTAAACGAACTGTGTGGAGCAGGCTAATGCACCCAAAAAACTTTTCTGGGAAGCAAGTCAACCTTCAATTCGAACTAATACGTTTGGTGTTTGAAGTAACAACGGGAGAAGTCAGAAGAATATTTTGCATCCTTTGATGTTTATCTCCCTCACATTAGGATGTTTCTTTAGTTTGAATACTCTTACAGAGAAGTAAACTGCTTGGAGAAAAATAATTCGTGGTCACAACTACATCAAATAACAATAATTACTAACCTGATGAAAATCAGCTGCGTTTTTTACGTGCATCGTGACCAGCTCGGAGTATCGTCCAATGTTATCCCACGCTTTCTTCACCTTTCCAGATAATTTCTGTAAAAAATGAGTGTTAGAGACAGGTAAGTTACCTGGATACCGTACTATGTAGAAAAAAGTGCCTGTTTTCTCTATGAAGTATATCTATTTTTGCCATTGCTACTTACCATGCAATTCACAAACATCATCTAATCCTAATTTGGTTCAGTGACCAACGGGTATTATAAGAGTGATATACTAGTACTTCGCAATTTTTCATGTAGATCGTTGTTGCTTTTATTCACAGCTTCCATGCTTGTGCAGTCATTCGGCTGCTGATGTACTGCAGAGTACGTTGTCAGACGACCAGCCAATTGTAGAACGGTATCCAGGTGCCGTTCGAACTGAGTTGCAAAAGGCCACACAATGACTAATTCAACTGTTATGGTGATTGGTTGGTTCGGAACTGAACATCAGGTAAAATGTTCCAGATAATCACTCCAAGGGATTCAGAAATCATGTCTCAACTGCGGCAGAGTCAGTCGCTATCAGCCGAAGTCCTTTGGGTCCAAAAGAGGCAAATTCAAAAATACTTGGCCTGGAATGGACGTTTTGAACTTTTCCGCAAAGAAACAAATTAAAAATGCCGCGTAACGCCTGTTGAGAATGTCCAATCCAGTCAATCAGTTTTGGGAAAGCCGTTGAGTATAAAAAGATAGTCTGGCCCAATATGAGTTGTGTATATAATAACTTTGTAACTTATTGATTGAGGGAAGGATGAGAAACAATCTCCACGCATTAACCAGCCTTCTGTGACCCTCTAAGAATCTTTTATTTACTTATGAAAATTTTATGGGTTATTGAGAAATACATTTGTTCCATCCATAAAGTAACACCTTTTCATGGAATAAATGAGCTGGGTTTTTTATATCAGGAATGGACTTTACCCACCAACTTACCCTCGTGTCAGGCTTTATGACCTGGCTTGCATGTGACCCTAAGTTTATTCCTCTCCTTTCCACCTGGCATCCTTTTGCAGTTAGGACTTCAGCCATTCGTTTATGGCTAAGTGATGAATATATAATCGAGTAATGTAGGACATAAATAATTTAAACTAATCTGGGTGCTGTCAGTTAGTAGTTGCCAACAGACACAATTTGGCAGATTTTGCTTCACAGCTCAGGCGGACTCAAACCCGAATGATCTTCTGAGCATTAAGTTTCTTCTTTTACGTTTGCTAATCACGGCCTTTGATCAATAAACTCCTGCTGTTCCAAAATCACTGGCACGTTGCGGTACGGAAGCCTTTCCTTCATGCTCCATTTGATATCTTGATGATTTGTGATAATGCGTGGGGGGGGGTTCTGATTTTTAGCTGCGTCTTCTGCTTCCTAACAATTTCGCGCATCAAGTGATCTTCCTCTGTTCTTTTCTTTTATCATTTCCTTGCCTTGGTTTCTGTGTGGTTCACTTTGTAGATTTACGGATTTCTTTTGAGATTTCCAGTTGAGAAGCTGGATCACCACCAAACTGCTTGTTTACTGCTGTTGCGTAAAACAACGCGCTTCAACTAACTCGCTTTTGTTACTTCTTTCGGCTTAACTTAATATCTACAGGCTGTTTGAGGTGGACTGATGCCCTTTCTGATATTTGTGCTAAGGAAACATCTAAACTTGATAGTGTCACTCACAAGTTCATGTTCGTGTATTTTAATGGGTAGTTTCCATCCGGTTTGTCATATGTGATGTTGAATTGAATTGCATTCATAAAGTGGCTTCCAGTTTTTTTCTGTTGCGTAGTGATAGGTTCATCTACTGATATTCATCCGTTTTATCAGGACAGTCTCACAGTCAGCAACCTTATGAGTAGTGCGTTAAGTCTTACAGTAGCTTCAACTTTTTCTCGATACACAGGACGATAAGCCCTCAGTTTACATTTTAGCTTAGTTCAAAATGGTGTGGCTGGGTGTTGCGAGGCCTTTGGGTTTTCTGTGACTTACTCTTCAGGAATCCCGTATTGAGACTATCCATGAATACTGAGTTGTTCTTTCCTGGTTCTACTGTAAACCGAGTGTCACGGAAGACGTTTTTCACTAGAATGCTGATTCGTTGCGGTTAGCTGTTCTTCTTGATCTCTTCCATTTTTCAATTGTGAATTTCACGTTTAATCTGGAAACTGTAAATCCCACTGTACGTCCTCTAACTGTTAAAAATACTCGCTGTCAAGCTTAGAAGTTGAGAAGTTTTAGGAAGTTTTAAGATATCTCTCTTCTCAAAGACTCACTCCATAGCGGCGGCTGTAATGGCTGGATTATGATCAGCCAAGTTTGACTTACATCGAATGTCATCAGCACTTCGTCCCCACCACTCCTCTCAGCTTTCATTTTCTACGCCAACTCTTGCGGCTTGTTTATTTAGAACTGAGATGAGACAATTAAGCTTTCTCCATTGTTCATTTGTGATGTAAGCTGCGGCTTCGCTAGTAAGACAGTTAGCTGCCGCGGTATGTTTGCTTCGTCCAGTCTTGAGAGTCCTCCCAAAAATTATTGGCAATAATCCAGCTTAGCCGCCAACATAAATCTCAAACCTATGAAACCCGTAAATTTTAATGTGGTGTACTAAAAGTAGATGAAAACTAATGAAACGCAAAAATCAGTGAAATTTGGGGGCTAGAAGAGCGCACTACTTATTGTTATGAGGGAAAAATTTTCACCGGTAACTTTCACCACGCATCCACCATTTTGTTTAAATCAACAACCTCTTAGAAAATGTTTTTTTAAACTACAACCATAAACAAGCCTTGATATTTTCTTGACGGAACACTACTTATAAGGTAGCTGAAAACTCTTCAACTACCCACGACTGGTTTTGCCCATCTTTGGGTTCATCAGGTATACGCAGCTCCCAGGTTCCATAAACCTTTAACCCAATCTGGACGCATTTCGCGAAAAGTGTTCATTTGCACACCATTTGGTTTTAGCGCTGGATACAGGTGAATCCAACTGAGCAGTGTCTCGTCAAGAAAACATACGTCGATATCTCAAATGTCGTACCAACTGAAACATGAGACGGCCTTTGTACAGCACACTCAGCTGGACCATATCACAAACGAGAGATTCAACAGGGATTCAGCTAAGTCTACTGCAAAAGCCCTGTTATTGTTCCAAATGGTTTTGTCCAGAGAGAGCATGCCAACTGAATCTGGGAAGAGAAAAAAAACGAAGTCTTCCACTAGTCGTTTTGAGACATTTGATTTGCTAGTATGTTGTAGTTTAGTATTGTTTTTAGTGTTCTGTTGTCGGAACCGGCCATATTTTCCTGTTTATTCACTTAAGGGAAATTTGCCTTTTATAAAAATGTCACTTCAAGCCAAAGTTTTAACTTCATCTGCTGGTAATTTCCTCCAATGTTCCCATACGACTCCCACAAAAAATTCGTCAGCTTTTATTATCCAGATTGCGCTCCTTTCTATCACTGAGCAATGCATATTGCCTCTTTTCTTCTATAGAGTGAGTTTTTAAGTCCATCTCTTCAACGTCCAAAGTGGTTACTGGTGGAGTGGTCTCATTTTAATGTTCTTCAAACGCGGCATTTAAAGGGCGCGTCCACTACTCAGTCACTGACTGGGGGACGTTTCTGATGACAAAATTTCTGTTATCTGGTTGTTCTAGTCCCTCAACAATTTCTGCTTCAGAATGCAAAAAAATTCAAGGAGAGTCAATTTTGGACGGACTGACTGACCAAAAAAAAGTATGTTCCGTCGGATTCCACTGCAATTCAAATTTGCATCCGTGAAGGCATAACTGATTTTTCCAACCACCAACAAAAACGGGGTTCCATTCGCTCAAATGGACTATTATCTTCCTCACACAGAGAGCGGAAATCATCAGTGCGTCTTACTTCTGGTCGAAGAATCTGCAGCTGCGACGTTGAAGTACCAATCGATGGATCCACATGCATGATGGGTGCACCCACCGAGTAGTTATCGATGAGGTCAATAAAGGAAACTTAACACCAAAGATCGTTTTTGCTACTTTTAAGCTTTCAGCGCCCATAACTACTGCACAGGGGCCATCAAATAACCTCCTAAGATGTTCACTCTCCAATTCTTAGAGTTTCACTACATCAGCCCAGATTTTATGGCCCCATTGTATGGCCTGCTGTTTTACTTCCCAGTCATACCATTTGTGATTGAACTCTACATGGTTGTTCTCAGTGGCTTCCAAGACATAAAGTGCAATGTCACAATAGCGTCTAACATCACTACGAAAACAGTGATTTTTAGTATTGGCAGACGAGTTACGGAAAGCATTTAGTCGGTGATGTCAGCTGAGTATGTTGGATGAACCTGATGAAGATTATATTCCAGCTTTCGAGAAATAGATGAAATGCCATTATAGAACCTCCTCTCAACTTTGAACCCCTAGATTTGTCGTTTGGAACTAGTGCTGATGATGCTTCTTGGACATTATCCTCACAAATCTCATCAGAATACAAACTAAACGTTCATCGTTTTCGGAAAAGTTTGGTGACAATCGGTAGATTTATTGCTGGGCAACGTTTGGCTTTTGACACAAAAGCTTCGCCAGGCCAGGTGACTAGGTTACGAGGTTGGTCGAGATTTAAGGCGGAAGGAGAACCAATTAACTAAGTCAAGCTAAATCTCTGTTGGGTGTCGACCGAGGGATTTTAGTGTGTTAGAGTGGTTGAACAAGTGTTGGGTCGGTGGGGAAACCTACATGTGTTTGGGTCCTGCCTAGGGTCTAGTTCTTCTGGTTCGGTTCAT